GAAGAAGAAGAAGAAGAAGAAGAAGAAGAAGAAGAAGAAGAAGAAGAAGAGAGGAAGAATTAGAACTGAGCTCAGGTCCCAGTTCAACCACTCACTGACTGTAGGGCCATAGACAAGTCGCAACCCTTTTCTGTTCTTGCTTCCTTATTCGTAAGATGGATGAGATATACTCACACACCCTACCTCAGGGACAGGTCATGAAGAAAACACTTAGTAAACCTTAAATTTTCATACGGAAATGTGATTTATTATCATTTAGTTCCCCACTAAATGGAAGAATGGAAGACGAAGGGGTCCTGGGTTCCAGCACTACTTCTGATGCTTACTACCCTGTGCAACCGTGGGCAAGACACTTGGTTAGTATTATTATGACAATAGTTTTGGCCTGGAGACCCCCTGAAAGGGTGCACTCTCTCAACAACCCCCTCTTTGAGAACTACTAGATTGGATGGTTTTAAGATCTCTTTCAGCTCTAAATCTATGATCCTGGGGAAGTCACTTTCCTTCTGGGGCCTCATTTTCCCCATCTGTAAAATGAGGGGTTCAACCTGATCATTTCTAACGTCCCTTCCAGCTCTAAATCTATGATCCTGGGGAAATCACTTTCCTTCTGCAGCCTCAGTTTCCCCATCTGTAAAGTGAGGAGTTGGAGCCGATCATTTCTAAGGTCCCTTCCAACTCTAAATCTATGATCCTGGGGAAATCACTTTCCTTCTGGGGCCTCATTTTCCCCATCCGTAAAATGTGGGGTTGGACCCGACCATCTCTAAGGTCCCTTCCAGCTCTAAATCTATGATCCTGGGGAAGTCACTTTCCTTCTGGGGCCTCAGTTTCCTCATCTGAAAAATGAGGGGTTGGACCCGACCATATCTAAGGTCCCTTCCAGCTCTAAATCTATGATCTTGGGGAAATCACTTTCCTTCTGGGGCCTCAGTTTCTTCATCTGTAAAGTGAGGGGTGGGAGCCAATCATTTCTAAGGTCCCTTCCAGCTCTAAATCCACGAGCCCGTGCACACGCCCACGCAGCGATCCTGCCTGCCTCTCCCCCTCCTGCTCCCTCGCTCCTTCCCACCCCACCGGG